AAAGAAAATGCTATATGTACTGTTTATAAAAGCATTAGCTGACTCAGATTTCCAAAGAGTACTTGCTTGCACTGTAGAGCCACAGACCTTTTGCAAACGAAAAAGTAATCGTATATTATGTGTTGGCGGACCTTCATCATTTTTTTTTTTCTTTTTGATAAGATGGACCTTCATCATTTGATTACCATAAAAGAGACTTGTGGACCTTCATCTTTCGTGGATCTAAATTTCTCGACAAAAAGCTTCCATGATGTTGCCCCTTAACGTACATGCAAGTGTATCAAATATCTCTAAATCAAAATCGACGTAACGACTTATTGGAGTGAGAAAGGAAGTGCACTAAATTTTCAATTTTAAGTTTGTTTTACTGAATGAAAGCACATTAATTTTAGTATTATCTGTATGTGGTATCCCATCTAGTAAGATAATGATATTTTAATAAATTAATTATATTTTATCATCTAATAAAGCAAATAATATACACAAATTTAGTTAAATTAATATTTATTAATATAAAAAAATTTTAATTTAAATTAAAGTTAAAAATTTACATCTTTGAATTGAAAAAAAAAAACCAAGCAAAGCCTAACCCCCTTTTCAACTTTTAACTTTATTAGAGAAAGAAAATGCTATATACATTGTTTGTAAAAGCGTCAGTTAACTCAGATTTTCCAAAGATGACTTACTTGCACAGTAAAACCATAGACCTTTCGCAAACGAAAAAGAAAATAATCGTGTATTACGTGTTGATGGACCTTCATCATTTGGTTAACCATAAAAGAGACTTGTGGACCTTCATCTTCATGGATCTTTATTTCTCGACGGAAAGATTCAATGATCTGCCTCCTAACGTACGTGCAAGTATACCAAATATTTCTCAATCAAAAATCGACGTAGCGAATTAGTGGAGTGAGAAAGGGAGCACACTAAATTTTCAGTTTCAAGTTTGCTTTAGTGAATGAAAGCGCACTAATTTTAGTCTTTGTCCGTTTGTGGTATCTCCTCTCCTCCAATAAGACAATGATATTTAAGTAAATTAAGACATTTTATCATTTAACAAAAATAAACAATATATGAATTTAGTTAAATTAATACTAAGTAATATAAAATTTTTTAATTTAAAATTCATGAGGTTAGTAGTTTACACCCTTGAATTGCAAAAAATAAAAAATAAAAGATTCTAGCAAAGCCCCACCACCTCATCAGAATTTTGTTTTTAAATACAAGGAATTATGGGTAATGAAAATTTTTTTCAAGTAATTGATAGAAGTTGAACTCTTAATTAATTAAATTCAAACACTAAAACCTAAGAATAAACCATTGGTCTAAAGGCTCGGTTTGCCACCTCATCAGGATTTAACTCTCTATTGGAGAAAGAAAATGCTATATGTAATATTTGTAATTATTATGTATGTAAGTATAATGCTTTTTGATTAATTTTTTCGTCAGCGTCACATATAAATTGATATCCACAATTTCACATCATATTGTAAAAATTAGTGTATTTATTAGTGGATCTAATCTTGATTTCCAAACTACAATACTATCTTCACAATTAAAAAATAATTCTTAACATTTAATAAAGGGTCAAATACCTTCTTATTCCATTAACTTTTTGCTTTTATACTAAAACCTTATCTTCTTCTTTACCCTCACAATATCTCTTTGATTTCTTTCAATTTCTCTACAACAAAACAGTCCAGCAAGAAGCTAGCCATGGTTGGATTATTCAACTAACCCTAAACAACCTCAGTACATAAAATTAAAATCTAGAGTTAAATAAATAAAAAACCAAGGCATGTGATTTGCAATTTGACATAGTCCGTCTTATTTTTTTAATTTGTTGGGTGTATTGGAGAAGTTACTTCTTTTGGTAATATAAGAGTTTGGAACTTTAATTTTGATTTTAAATTAAAATTTTTTTAAGTTAGTAAATATCGATTTAGTTAAGTTATTATTAATATTATTCTGTCTTGAAAACTTAGGAAGATGTCATTTTAAAATAAGACTAAATTTTTATGAGTGGGTGTTGATATTCACTATTAAGTATATATATATGTGAAATTAATATTTTCTAGTTTATCTTTTAAAAATTAAAAAAAATATTTTAAAATTATATTATTTTAATAAAATATCATGAAAAAAATTATAAAA